AATGGTCGAAATAGTTATATTTTAAGGTCAAAAATGCTATGAAAAAAGGGTCCATTGAAATTTTGGTTAAACATTAAGCGGGAGGTAAACTAGAATGCTGCGGAGCGGAAAAGTTTGGATTACGCATGTAATTCGTTTTATTAGATTAATAAGATTCTACGATATTTATATCATATTATCTTAATATTAAATAAGATCGCCATTTTATAAAAAAAAATTAATAAGTTCCAGTTAAAAATGTTGATTTTTTCTTCGCAATTTTTCGCGAGCCGACAAAGCAATTGCTTTTAGTCAACAATATATTCAATATATATTATTATTGATGTCAATAATTATGAATAATTTTTAATAAATCGATGATTCACAGAAAAAATTCAATAAAAAAAATCAATTTGATTCGATGCATAGAAGAAGTAAATATGGTGCATTTATTGCTATCGAATGCCTTTTCTATTTTTGCCCGCTTTTGATGTCAATTCAGACGATGCGACATGTCGCAATATTCAATGAGTGATATTCGTCATTACGAAAATACGTATAATTTGCATTGAATACCAATAATTTTATTGCTCATTTTCAAGTGATTTGGCCAAAATTTGATATCAAAAACGCCGCCAAGCACAAAATTGCCCGAACCATCGTTATTTCTTCCATTTCAGTTGGTGAAGTCATCTAAATTGGTTGACGAAACAAAAAATGGCACAACTCAAGTATAAAATCGCTATTAGTCTTTTCATCCTAATTTGTTCCACAAATTATGTAACAATCGCCCTGTATGGTTGTAACAAGTACATACTCGGTGTTCTACAACTTCGTGTCAGTTACGTGTGCGGCAACTTAGAATTATTAGACATTCAACGGCATCTAACGAAACAGTTGAAGGTGTTTTTTTTTCTAGATTTTTTGTACTATTTCATTTTTACCTATTAGAAACCAGCTTTAGATTTTATTCCCTAGGCGTCCGATTGTTGGTAAAAATCGGCGCCGATTTAAATTCGTCATGATGGCGGCCGCCTTGGAAATAGAACCTTTCTCGATGTTTCAAAAGAAACATTTGTTAATATTTTGCCCAAAAAACAAATTCTTCCAAAGCCCATCCCTCTAGAGAACTAATCAAATTTTCAATCATTATTAGGAATCCAATGAAACAAAACCGATAAATTTGATGTTATCTAAAATTGTATTGCCCGATTCTTTCAATGGTGAACTGCCCAAGGATTGGTTCAACACAAATATATCGGTGAGATACCTTCATTTGCGGTATTTAAATATAAAGAAAATTGGAGCGGATGCATTTGAATCGGAGAAGTTTGAAAAATTGAGAGAACTTGTGATTTCTGACATCCCAGCCATATCTTTTGTAAGCAGTTCTTTCCGCGGATTAAGCAATCTGTGGAAACTTGTTTTGATCAACATACAAACGTTTCACTTTGAAGAAAATGTGCTTGCACCAGTGGCGAATTTGCAAAATTTGATAATCAATTGCAGAAGCAACGAACCATTGTGGCTTGATAATCTGTTGGGCACCGTCAAAATGGACCAATTGGTTCAAGTGCGAATAAGCCATTGCAATTTGAATGAAACAATTACCGAAACGACTTTCTCTGGCCTGCAAAGTGTTATTGAATTGAATTTAAATCATAATAACATTGAACGCTTGGGTGAGCGATCGCTGGATGTTGTTCTACAGTCAACGCATTATTTACACTTGTCAGTTAATAAGTTGACCGCATTGCCCATCGAATTATTTGAAAACCGGCGAGATCATCTACTTCAAGTCACTGTCTCTCGAAATCCATGGCATTGCGATTCTAATATGGAAAAATTACACCGATTTATCCATTCAGATTCAACAATTCATTTTGGTCCAATGGTGTGCAAAACACCACCAGAATGCGAAGGTTTTCATGTTGAGAAATCTGCTTCATTTTGCGGCAAGAATGAAGAGAAAGTGATGCTAGCGGAAGAAGAGATAGCCGAAGAGAGAGAGGTGCAAAATGTAGCGACAACGGTATCAGTTTTGTCAATAGCGTTACCACCGTCAGAAGTAGAAGAAATATGGTTTTCGGAAAATGAAGAGAGAGACTTCTTGGAAATAGTAACTAGTTCACCAGATTCTTCTGTCTCGGTAACAGAAGCTGATGACCTTATCCAGTGTAATTACCAGAATAAAAAGCTAACCTTGTTAAAACGATCTCTGAAAAAGTTTCCCTCAATTTGCCGAAGTAATGACGAGATGGAAGTTGATGCTGTAAAAGCTTCCACCGACTATCAACTTGTGGCAATCGCGGAAACCCCAAGACGCAGAATTTTGAGTTGCTTGACAAGTGTCAACATTGGTGAGAAGAAAATGGTTAATTTGAATGAAAATTTGAAATCGATCGGCATGTATAGATTTTGTTGGATGGAAAAAGGCAACAACACCATAGCACCATGGGACTGCTTTGTTTTCCATTTCAAATTGGACGATGTAGAAGACGCATGGCTATTGGTAGAACATAAACCAATTGCTGTTGCCATATTCATATTGATCGCAGTTTTGGGACTTCTAATTGGAATTTTGCAAGCAATTTTACTGACCAAACTATTTTCCCAGCAAAAGGTGGATAGAAAACAGACTTTGAAGAGAACTTTTTGCAAAATGTCAATGACAAAGAAGCGCCGTGTTCGTTTTCGATCCATTACGAACACACATGTAATCGACTGAAAGGCTTTTACAACAACAAAAGCTTTTTATATTTCTTCTATATTTCACAGGAAATCATATTCAATTTCATTTATGAGACACTCTTACGCCTACATTGAGTGTGCAGAAAAACAATATTGATTAATTAGGATTTGGTTTATGACGTAAATGTAACAAATAATAATGATTGAAATAAAAAGCGTTTCAATCAGTTTTCTTTTAATAACTTTTTTGTGATTGAAAACAACTCAGAAGAAGAGTGTTCTTTGGGCGCAAGACTTTTTTGACAACAACTGTCGTCTTCTTTCATCGACAAAATGCGCTGATGTCATTGGATTTGATTCAATAAAATTGAAATACTTGATTAAGGTAAGCACTGGAAGATCCAGTCTGGAATGACCTGTTGCCCAATGAGACTTCCAGATGATCGAAGTATCAGATGTGATGATAAACTTACCTGAAAATGAAGAGAAAACAATTGTAAGTTAAGGCATTCAAAAGCAGCCACATAGCAGGCTTAATATATCGGGAAAAATTGATTGATTGTATGGAAAAATGTGATGTAAGAGTCAATATTCAAATCTATTTATGGAATATTTTGTTATTTGCTTTTGTGTCTATTGCCATTATTGAGCGCAGAAATTCGGTTTGTAAATGTATTAAATTGTGGAAAAATACTAATTTCGGCTTCATTTTAATGAATATCATGTTATAATTGGCGAAAATGAAAGGATTTGCTTTGGAATTAAACTAGAAATAAAAACAAATCAACAATTGTGGCTGTGAGAATGAAAATGACAATACAGGAATAAACATTCTGAAACGAAACATAAAACAGCAAACACGCAAAAGTGAATCATGAATGTTTGAGCAGCAGCA